AGGTTTCGTTGAAATAATATTTTGCTATCGATACATATTAGTTTAAGTTTGAGTAAAGAACGATTCGATATCATTTAAGTAAAATTTAAAATTTAAATTTTTATATATATAAATTAGTTGTAGATTCATTCAGCATATTCAAGTACGTGACTCAGATCAAATTAAATTAAACTGGATGAAAAATTAAAAAAAAAACATTTTGAACTAAATAGATGAAATAAATATAAACAATCAACAAATGATTAACTTGCAAGAGTATAGTTTAACATATTCAACGACCTATCTTGCAATAAGACTACTTTTAAATCAACGATATCGTCTCAATTGAAATGGTAGTAGTACACACGGTACGAATGAAATTGATAGGCTTACGATTGACCTTAAAGAACCCATGGCCCTACTTTGTGAAGAAATTTCAATTGAAAATATCTTAGATAGTGCAAGTAATTATCGAAAGTCTTGTATACTATTTTTATTCTCATTTTATCATCCTTTGTGGTTCAACTACATCTCCAAACATGTTGAATGAGTCAATTGATATTTGTACGTTTCCAATCACCTATTTTAAGATCACCTAGTGAGCTTAGGAAAGGAGAGGGATTGCTACAAATAAAGTATCTTGTGAGTATTACACCGGATAAAATATTTACTCACTAAACATGCATGGATATAAAACAAAATATCCACAATGGAAATAGATACGGATAGAGTAACGATATTAAGAGAAGTATTTTTTATATAAGTTTAAATTTTTTTACATTCAATCTGAATCTTTTATTTAACTTATATCTAAACAGTTAATAGAGAAATAAATTATAATTCTTTAAATATAAAATTAATAAAAAACTCAAATTAAATATAAAAGTTTATGGACTTATACTACTATGAAATATATTAATTATATAAATATATTTTTTTATAAATATTTATTTTATTGCATAATAAGTGTGAATATGATTTACAAGTACTTAGATGGTATGAATATAAGAGTTAAAAATAATATATCAACGTAATTATAAAGTTAAGTATGAATATTTTTTTTAAGTGTAAATATAAAGATAAATATTATAATATCTTACCTATTGTTATTCTTAAAAAGGAGTTATATAAGTCAGTAGCTATACTAACCACTAAAAAATTATACTATTTAGACAAATTTTGTAACGTAGTTCTTTAACTTTCTTTTTTATTTGTTTTTTTAACTCTTTTATTTATTTTATTTTTCTAACTTCATTTTCAAGTTAATTTTTTTTATTATGATACAGTTAAATTTCATCAAAAGTTTTATCTGAAATTGTAATTTTTAATTGAATCTTTTTATTGACTCGTCTAATTCTATGTACCGGCTATAAAACATAATAAAATTTTAGGATAAAGGACGTATAATAATAACAAATAAAAAATGATAAATGCTTTCTATACTTGATCCTACATTATAATTCATGAATGATAATTGAGAGTTTTAAGTTATTTATTGAAAAAATTTACTATTATTAATTTCATTTTATTCATATTTCAAGAAAAAAGATAAAAAAGTGAAAGTTTTAAAAAATATTGAGAATTGAAGCACACAAAGAACTAGAGATATACATGGGCAAGTATACGTCCGTGTATATGAGCATGTATCTCACTGATCGCGTCAATTGAAGTGTATCATCAAAACCAGAGATGTATACGGCCAAAGTACATGGGCGTGTACTTTTCAAGAAAGCTGTGAAGTGCAATTATTAGAGACCAGAGATGTACACGGCCAAAGTATATGAGCGTGTACTTTTATGGAAAGCTTTGAAGGGCGTTTTTTTTAGAAACCAGAGATGTACACGACCAAAGTACATGGCCATGTACTTGGGTCTGTACTTTTAACATGCGTCAGAATTTAAATTTATGTGAGAAGATGAGCTTTTGGGCCACTCATATAAAAGGGAACTTGACACAGAAACTTAGGGAGGACGATTTTTGGAGACGAAAGACTCAGAGACGGCAAGAAGATGAGATCAAGCATTCTAATTCATATCTTTTGTAATTTTAGTTTCAAGATATTTAGATTCTAACTTTCCTTTGAGTATCTAGACGTAATGAATCCTAATTGACTAAATTTTCTGGAATTCTTCTAATGCTATTTCATATTCTTTTCTCTTGGGTTTAATTGAGTAGTATCAATTTTCTTTTATCTTATTTTCTTGTTTGAATTTAAGTAAAATTCTTGCATGAAATTAACACTGCTCAATTAAAAAGACTTGAATTTATTTCTAGAGATAGAAAGAAGTGAGTTTTCTGTATTAAAATTAACCCTAATTATGGAATTTATAATGAACTTAATGCAATCTAGGGGTATTAATTAAGGAAGAGATTCTGATTGATCAACCGAGGGTTAGGAATCATTATCCTTGAGAAAGGTATTGATTTAATTCAGAATTTTCTGCAGCGATAAGGGTTTGAAACTAAGTAGTTAAAGAAGAATTTCAGTTATTTCGACATTTAGAAAGATTTACCGTCTAGATACTTGCCTATTTCCCTTGAATACCTTTAGTCATACTTTTCTATAATTTATTATCATAAGAAATATGTTCCTTTCAATTTATTATTCTTTATTTTTAGCAATTTTATCAATAAACTTATTTTTTTCATATTCATTAACAATTGCGTAATTAAGGAAGAAATTCTTATTAAAAGTCCCTGTGGATACGACACTTGATACTCTATTTTTCATAATATTACTCTGACAACGGGTACACTATTCCAGTAATTCAATTTTTACACACCAAAAAATTACTAAAATATAAATATTTATAATTAAAGTAAAATAGATTTTAAAGAATATTCTAATTTCATTTCTCATTTTAGTAAAATGAAATTTAAAGAAAAAATTTTTATGTTGAGAAAAATATCTGCACTAATTTTAATAATAATTAAAAAAAATAAAAAATAGGTGTTAAAAAAAGGATATAAGAACATTTTCATTCATTAATATTTTATTTTAACCGATAAATATCTTAATCTTTTGATATGTTGGGTCATAATATACAATATTTTTTAAAAAATTATCATTAAAAAATTATTTTTGTAAGATTATGATGAGATTTAACGGTATTTTAATACATGAACTGACTTGAAATAAAAATAAAAAGTTAGAGAACTAATTGAATAAAAAATGTTTAAAAATATTTTTTTTTTAAATTTTTAAGAATTAAGTCAATAATTTTACTTGTTATAAGTAAAATTATAAATTTTCTTATCTTTTATGTTTAAAAAACTTTGATTTAATCTTTTATTTTAAGTTATACTATTTTTGGTCAATTTCGTTATATCAATTAACAAAAGTGGTGCCAATGTGATCAACCTCACAACAACGTTGTTTTGGTGTTTATGTTTTTCACACTTTTTCTTCATCTCTCTTGAAAACTAGTAAAACACTTCCCTCATTTGAGACAATGAGTGCCTCCACACCTATGATCTATGTGCATGCTTTAAAGATACATTTATCAGTTTTAGAGAAAATCTCCCTCTTTTAAAATGAAAGGGACATTACTAACCCCAAATTCAGTCTTGTATCAATTTTTTCTATATTAAACTTTGTAATTCTTAAAAAAATCTAACATTGTAGGCATACAAAGACAATGAACTATCATTGTCAAACTAAGGCTCTTGATACCATTATTATTTAAAATATAGTATTTCCACACACACTATTACAATATTACAGTCACATGCAAACTATAAATTGTGCACTAAATAAGTTTCCAAAAAGAAATGTTGGTCATAATGGACATGCTTAAGTATGAACTCTTTTCTAGTTAGAACCCTTTTTAGTACAATACTCACTATCACACACAAGTCAAACTTGATCATTCTATTAAATTTCTCTATTTTAATCTTTATAGTTCTTAAAAAATATGACATTACAGTTTTATGCAAACTATAAATTGTGCACCAAGTAGGTTTCCAAAAAGAAATGGAGGTCATAATGTAGAAGAACAAACATGTTGCAACTACAAAGCATACTAAAATTATAATATCTCACTGAACCAAACCAAACCAAAGGTTCTTGATACCATTGAGTGACATGTTTTTTTTGACAATTTTCTTTAACTAGACTACTAAGATAATATAGTAGTAACATAAAAATTAACATGAAAATGTTAATATATATTTGATAAGAAAAACTATGATTGTTGTTTAATAATAACCAGATAACAACACCCCGTAAAGTTTTTTCTAACACAAACCTTTTGTTTTCCTCAACATTCCAGTACACTTTATCTCTCTAAAACAAATATCTAAACATTCTATAACACTCTAAGATAATAGTATAAAATAAATAAGAAAGTTAGATAACTATAAAATATTTTTTACTGATGCAACTTAAAACAAAGAACTTGGGTTAAGATTTTCGACTCATCAGTTTTGAGTGTATATAAAATGTAAATGACTTATGGCTTAATACATCTTAAAAAAAATAGAATATAAAAAATGTGTTATATATGGTTATGTCTGCGTTAAACATGTCAATTAAAAAATATGAGAACCACGTGAACAACTGGTGCGTGCTTACATTAGGATAAGGGGGCGCTGCGGTTAAATATTCAACTTCTAATTCCGAACATGAATCCACTATTATTATTATTATCATTATTTATTATCAACTATGTATAAAATTATAAGCCTACCTACCCTCCTCCACATTGTGAACTTATCACCTTTTTTTAATTAATTGACCAAAATAAAGCCAAAAGTAGCCATATTTATCTAAAAGATTTTCTTACCATTGACTTTAAAATATTTACTGAAAAATTAATAAGTAAAAAGTTTTTTCGAAAATTATAGTAAAATTACAATAAAAATATATTGTATTAATTTTTTTTACCTTTAATTGTCTAAGCAATATCCTAAAAACTATTGGCAGACATCTTTCTATCGACGTTTGCAAATTGAATGTGAAAATGTCTCACCAACGAAAAGATGGCTTAAGCAACTTGATACATGTTGCCATTCCATTTGTGCTGTGTCAACAATGAAACTGACGTAAGCTTTACCTATGGCCAATAAAATCAGCATATTATCTATACTACACACTATATATTATACATAGTCAGAGACGCCATCTTTGCCTCTACTTTGTGCGAAAAATCTCAGGATATTATTTTTCTCCGTAACTTAATTTGGTTTTGCTTACCAAATTAATAGCGAGATTATTGCTACGTGAGGGTCGATCGAAGTTCGTATCATGGGACGGTGTTTATCACGTAGTTTTGCTTTTCTACTTGTTTCTGCTCTCTGTGTCTTCAGCTGCTTTGTCGATGTTGCAGAAGCTCAAGCTGCAAACGCTACTACAGATCCTAATGAAGGTGAGTGCTTATATTCTTTTGTTTTATGCTAATTTCTCATCATCATCGATCAGTTATATGTCCATCAATAGACTAGTTTTCTTGCTAATTTGTAAACGCAAGCCGAGGTTTGAAATGATCTGTGAATTTTCTGAGCTTCAGTTTTCTGGCGTAAGTAACAGCCAATATTTAAGACCTCACAATCTTTTAAAAGGCTATAAATATCATGAACACAATTATTTTATAAATCATTTTCATTCGATGGATAGTTTATGTTTGGATTGTTTAAAATATATTTTTTTAATTTTGTAAAAAATTAACAGAAAATTTAAACAAAATGATTTTGCGTTTAGGATCTCCTGAAATTTAATAATTTTTTTTCTAAGCGAAATTAAATTAAAAGAGGATTTGAATATAAATTATAAGTTTTGTTAAAAATATAAATAAATATTCTCCATATGGAATAGAGAAGAGTCTTTAAACAAGTAATGTCATATATAAAATTTATATCTTTTGCCTTACAAAAAATATCCTATAATCAAAAAGATATAAATTAATGCTTTACTTTTTCTTGGTTGACATTTGTAAAGTTTTTTTTTTCCCAATTGGTTTCTAAGTTTCTCTCCCTATCTCAAATTATCAAAAAGTCAAAGCCATGTAACATGCTAACGAAAAATTAAATTAATGGGAGACAAAGTGGACATGTGATTTATGTTTAGAACAAGTAATTTAAATTGTTGAATGGGATTGAAATGAATATCTAAATTAAACTAAACCAAATATTTACATTTGAATTTGTACTTTTAATTAAAAAAAATTATAAAAATTGATTTTATAATTTCAAAACAAATAAAAATGATCATATATCCAATGTGCTTCTGGTTAATAACAATAAAAGTATGATATAGATCCAAATTTTAATGTATTATTACTTAAGGTTCGATTGAAAGTTGATCTTTTGAGAAAAAAGGAGGGAAAGATATGATTTATGAAATAATTATTTTTTTAAAAGTTTTTAAATAAAATAAAAGGATATGATTTATAAAATAATTATTTTTGTTGAAAATTTTTAAACGAAAAGAAGATTGTTTATAAACTTTTATAATTGTATATTCTTAAATTCTTTCAATTTGAGAAGTTTTATATTAATTTTACTTATTTTTACTCTTCGGATTATTTATTTATTATAAATAAAACTTAATTTTTTTTATAATAATTTAATAAGTATCATATCAATAATATTTATTTAATATTAAATTTATCATAATACTTAAAATATTATTAAGTATGCTGAGTATTTTGTATTTATAAAAAAATGATAAATATTTGCATGAAGCCTACTAAATGGTATTATAATTTCATCACATAAATTACTAACTTTTTTTTAAAATTTTTTTAACTTCGCCTTGTTAAGGGTATGAGAGGTCAAAATATTGTAGTAAAATTAGAAAAACCATATAACTGTGTACTAATTAGGTGAACATTTTTAAATTGTGCTGGAATGATCTTGATTTCATAAAATTAATTTTAACGGTTAACTTAAAAAATGAAGTAATTTTATATTTAAATATTTTTATAATATAATAAATTTATAGTGAAATTTAATAAAAATTTTAACTAATGCAAATATTAGGTAAAGGCTGCTTTTATTAATATAATATTACGTTTGACAAAAAATTTTTTTTCTGTTTGTAAACATATTTAAAATTGAGTCGTTTATTCTGTTATCGACCTAACTATTAAAGTTGTTATTTTATTTGTATATTTATAATAAAAAGTGTTTTAAACAAGAATTTAAGCAAGACTAATGACACCTAATTAATTTTTTTATAATTTTTAAATAAAATATTTAAAGTAAATTATTTTTTATTTGCTTATATTTTTGTTTTTTGAATTAAATAATAATATGTAACTTTTTTAACTTTAAATAACCTTTACTAAGAATATGTTGTGAGCTTTTATAAAATATTCACAAACATTATTTAATTTTAGAATACGATGGTGATAATATAAATAGCTTTATTTAAGTTTCTATGGTTAAAAATAATTGAATTTATTTTAAAAACTTGAACCAATTTTTGGGTTTACATTAACTATTTTTTAATTTAAGAAGTGTATAAATAAAATCTGTATTAATAAAAGTTTAAAATAGAATATTTTCTTTAAATGTTAAGTTTGTATTTGGATGAGAGACGAAGTAAAAATAATAAAAATAAAAAAAGGAAAGTAAAAGGTAGAATAGAAATGAGATAAAAAAAAATGTGTTATTAATTAATAAGATAAAAAAAAGTAGAAAAACTTTTGGACGGTTATTTAAATAAGTGAAATTAATAAATAAAATATATAATTATATATAATAAAAAATGTCACTTAAATGTTTTACTATAATAATTTCTTAAGAATTTTTTTAAATTTTAGATATTTTATTAAAATTTTATTTTAAGTAAAACTATCAGAAGAAGGAAAAAAAAAAAAAAAACCAAGTTGTCTCCCAATCAAAATTCTCCTCATTGGAGAAAAATGAAAAATGGATCTTATCCCTCTTTTCTTCTTCCTTCTTTATCATTTCATTTAACAGTTGACTTAAACTCTCATCTATTCATCAAAAATCTTTTTTCCCCTAATTTCCTCATTACTAATTCCACTCTTACAGACGTAGAAATTGAATGCACTGTGATTCTGTGAAGTAGATTTACGTAAGTATTGTAATACCTTTAATGAGATTTATTTTAACACAAATTAAATACCTGAAAATTGAAATAAACAATTTATATTTTAATTTTATTTATTGAGAGAGAGTTATAATTCGTTAACTTAGATGTTAAATTTGTACATTTACAATATCTAATAAGTTTTTTTTTTTTATACAATGCGATATTTATTAATACAATTATTAAATTATTTTTATGATTATATTTATTAAAATTTCATATAATTTAAATATAGCTAAGTATATTATTAAAAAATTAATATTTACTTATATTTTAAAAATATTACTTGTTAAAATAAAACAATACCATAAATTATTTATTATTTTTTTTATAAAATTTTATAAAATTGATATGTTTTATAAAAATTTTCAAACCAATTATTAAATGAATCAATTTTATATTTTATAAAAAATTATTAAATATTATAATTGTTGAAGTTTAATTTTAGTGTTCAATAATTTGAATTATACGTGTCAAATTTAAATATTTAGACTAAATAATTTTTTATAGAATAAAAAAGTAATAAATTCAACGATTGAAATTTTATAAAATTTCATATAAAATAAAATAAACTAATTTTTTTTGTATTATTTTATTTTGAAGTATAATATATTTTTAAATATAAAAAATATTAAATTATAATAGTATCATTTATGTATATATAAAATATTTAATAATAAAGAAGATTTATAAGTATAAATTATAAAACCATTTAAATTTTTTTTATTTTTTTATTTTTAATGCAATTCCTTCAAAATATGAACTTTTGAATGCAGCAAGAGCTCTGAATTCAATCTTCAGCACGTGGGATATTGAGGCAGACACAACTCAATGGAATGTAAGCGGTGATGTATGCAGTGGAAGAGCCGTTGATCTCACTACTACCATTGATGACGGCACTTACAACCCATTCATCAAGTGCGATTGTTCCTATGACAATAGAACTACTTGTCACATCACAGCACTGTATCTCCCTCTCTCTCTCTCTCTCTCTCTCTCTCTCTCTGTAAACTTTTCTTAAATTTTTAGAATGAATTTCTGTGTTACCATGTTAAAATTGGAATTTAATATTTTCTTACTTTTTAAATTTATGAATGGCACAGGAAGGTTTATGCATTAGACGTGGTTGGTGAAATTCCTGAAGAGCTATGGACTCTAACTTATCTCACCAATTTGTACGCTTTCTTCCATGTTAATATTTTAATACTCATTGCTTATATTAAAAAAGAACTAAATTTTTTTTATACCCTATGATCTTTTATGGAGGATAGTTATAATTTTCATGTTGGTTTAAATGAACTAGCAGTGTGAATTATTAGTGTTTGAGTGGAATGCCCAATGCATTAGGAACAATCATTAAAAACTTCTAGATAAAAGAATGTTATCTTGAAGTTTGTTGCAGGGTTTTAAACTGCATCAACCTGCAATTGCAACGCAACTGCTACTGAGATATAAAATTGGTTGTGCAAGAATAAAAACCTCTTTAGCTATGTTAATTTTTATTCAATTGCATGCAGGAAACTTGACCAGAATTACCTGACAGGTTCTCTATCTCCAGCTATTGGGAATCTAACTCGAATGCAATACATGTAAGGCTATTCAACTCAAGTCCTTAATATTCTTTGTATTTAATATTAAGACACACAATTTCTGACATTAACTTTGTTCTTTGTTAGGAGTTTCGGCATCAACAATTTATCAGGGAACCTTCCAAAGGAATTGGGAAATCTTACTGAGTTAAGATCATTGTAAGTTATCTACTTTGAGCTTCGTTTTTTCTCCTTTGATTACAAGGAGATCTCAAACGTGGTCTATAGAGGCAGAGTGTAGAGGTAAAGTGGTGCCAATGGGTTGCATTTTCTGGAATTTGTAGTCAACTAAGAGAGTTAGTATCACTTGAGATTTGATTCTTTGGTGTTAGTTAAAAGTTTAATTAGTAGTGTGAAAATGAGACTGACCAAAATGGGCGAAGCTCAAATGTGTCATAAAATTAGACTGGTATATGGGCATAGAAAAAGGATAGAATTATGATTGATCTTATGATAATTGATATTTGTTTCCTCATATAATGGGATTCATCATGTCTCTAATACATAAGTGATTGAACGGGACTATAAATGATAACTGGCATGAGAAATTTTTCTTGATCACAGTGACACTACTAATATTTATTATTTGTTCAACTTGCAGGAGTTTTTCTTCAAACAACTTCTCTGGATCTCTTCCACCTGAACTTGGGAAACTGACAAAGTTAGAACAACTGTAAGTACTCCTTCAGTCTTAGTTTCTATATATTCTCGTGTTTTAAATCAAGTTTGCATGTTTGACATTCCCCATTTGTGAAAATAAAGCTGTAAATTATTTTATGTAGTGGGATAAGGTTTGGTTGTGTTGTTGTTCTTATTCTTCCAATAGAATTTGCCATGATATGATGACAATAATTAATATTTTGGACACATACTAAATTAAAGTAGAACTTGACAAATTTGGCAATCATTAATGGTAGTCTAGGGAAACAACTTAATGAAAGAACAACAGAAAAACAGCACAATAATGGGACAGCACTGCAGCGGGTGTCGAAGATTTGTATACGGCGTAATTAGGGGTATATAGACTTGACACAAAGAATTCACTCTCCTTTATGCAAAGTTAAATTTACCTCCAAAGTTATGGTTGCTTTTCTACATAGAGTTACATGCCTATCCAATGATTTTACACCTTCATTGTTTTCTTTTTTATGCCGAAGTATTGCCCAGCTAGCATAATTTTTTCTTGTATTAGAAGTGTAGTGGTGAAAATAAAACTTCCGGAAGCCAAACATACACCGCTAGTTTAAATTTTGGACTAGCTGGGAGGCAATAGCCATACCTTCCCTCCAATGCATTCATCCTTGCATCTTCTTTCTCAAATATTTAGACATCCAATGTTAGTGATTCTTAGTGTTAGTATTATTGCTGAATAAGTTTCTATATCCTTGTATGTATATGTGTGTATGTGTGTGTTAGAATTCGTTAATACTAGGGGTCAAACTTGAATACTTACACAACTTAATAACTTTTTTATAGAATACAAGACTGACTAATCTAACTGTTAAATCATCTTATATTATTTTCATGATCATCTATATCAAATTTCACATAATTTGGACATTTGTAGGTATGTTATTTAACATTTAATATTTACTTATATTTTAAAAACATATAACACATTGAAATAAAATATTGTGAAGAAGTATTTATTTATTTTGTTTTTGCATGAAATTTTATAAAGTTGATATACTTGATAAGAACTTTTAAATCAATGGTTGGATTGATTAATCTTACACCCTATAAAAAGTTATTAACTATGTAAGTGTTCTTGCTTGACACTTGGTGTCCACAAATTCTGACTCTTTTTCTCTCTCTATATGTAGAGAGATCTAGATCTAGATACTACGCTTTCAAGTTCTGTTAGTGGATACAAACAGTAATTGTATAGCTGGCGAGTTCAATATTTTAATTACTCCAATACATGTAAAGAATAGTTCTTTGTAAGAGGATATTGGGAATAATGAGTTTATTCTAGATAATGCAAAGCATTGGATCTTTTTATTCAACACTACAGTTTGTTACAGAGTTATATATCTCTTTTGCGATAATAAGAGGATATTAATTTTAGAGAATATTTTCTTGCAGCTACTTTGATAGTTCAGGAAATAGTGGTCCAATTCCTTCCACTTTTGCAAGCCTGAAGAATTTGGCGATAGTGTAAGATATAGCTGCTCTCATGTGCCTCATATGCTAATAGATTTGAAAAGAGCTTCTACAACAGTAAAGGTTTTTTTGTTGATTTTAGTTGGGCTTCAGACACAGAACTCACGGGTAGAATCCCAGATTTCATTGGGAATTGGTCTAAGCTTCAAACCTTGTAAGATAATATTACCAATCAACTCTTTTTCCCCCCTTATTTTGAATTAATCAGATGAAAATATTTTTGGAAAAATTATTTATATATGATGCAGAATTAAAATTTTCTCTCATGGTTTCTTTCAGTTTCTGTTTCAGAAGTGTGTACTGATAGGTTTTTTGAATCGCTGTATGTCTTGATAGGAGGTTTCAGGGGAACTCCTTCATTGGCTCAATACCCTCATCATTTTCCAATTTGACATCTATGTCAGAATTGTGAGTACCATCACTAGTTTCTTGAATGGTTGCTATTGATTAATGATAGCTAATATATCATGTTTGATATTAATGTAGGAGAATAAGTGGTTTATCTAATGGGAGCGCCTCACTGGAATTTGTAAGGAATATGAAATCTTTGATTATTTTGTAAGGACCCCTCATTGCTAACAGTCATCTCTCAATCTGCCATGTAGATAGAATTTCTCTGTACTTCTTTCTTTTTCTTCATGACTGTAGTCTAAAAATTTGACAACAATTGTTGCAGAGAACTAAAGAATAACAATATTTCTGGTTCAATTCCATCCACCTTTGGAGAATTTCTCAATTTGACCCAATTGTGAGTTTTATGATATTTGTGTTACTCACTTACACTTCATATTTGTATGAATCTACTAAGCAAAAAGTTGTTTGTTTGAAAGTAACGAATTAGAGAATGTTCTGTTGTTATTCCATAGCTTGTGTACAACCTGATTATTGGTTCTTTATATAAGGGATATCTTGAATTTGAAGTACTAATGCTTTCAAAATGAATTACTGAAGCATTTATTGCTGGTAATTTCTGCTCAGAGTTCATCATTTTCAGTACTAGCTTGGCTCAAACTTGCCATTCTAACTTCTGTTTATCTTTTCTGCTTTCAGTATTTTCATTCTTCTGAGCTATACATAACTTCAAAAATATTTTTCATAGAGACAGAAGATAATTATATACTGTTTCACATTGTATGCAAAAGGAGCACAATTATCTAGTCTTATTATTATGTTTTATCTCAAAGCCATAAAATTATATTTTTGTGCATGCTCTTGCAGGGATTTAAGCTTCAATAACATCACAGGACAAATACCAGGACCAATTTTCAATCTGAGCTTGCTCCAATACTTGTAATTTTGCTTTCCCTGATAATTATACACTGACAAGCTGATATGCTATCATACATCATTTACAGGATGTTTTGTTTTAATATGATCCAGGTTTCTTGGAAATAACAAACTTAATGGCACTCTTCCTGGGCAGAAAAGTTCTTCTCTTCTGAATATGTGAGTAAGCTTGACCTATTGAATTATGGAGGATGGAATTTTAATCTACATATATTCTAAGTCTTTTTTTATTCTATTACTTCAATTCTGGTTGTCATTTTTTTTATTTTCTGATTCAAAATACTTGGGAAAATGCATGGAACCCATTTCAACTGTAGGTCTTGCATGGAAAATCCCCTTCATCTTTGAAGCTCACCAGCATGACTCCTTGGATTTACTTTAGAGTGCATATTGACCACTTAAAATGGATGTTTCTTGCACATGCACCTGCTGGTGGTGGGGGGGTTTCAGTATGCACAGTTTGGCAAGTCCAAGGAGTTTTGTTGGTGAGTTCAAGACAAAAGGGACTGTCTACACATGAACCATTATTGGAGGAAATTTCTTGCATTTTGCCCAGAATATTGCATTATATATATAATTGCTATTTAAAATTTTAAAATTACCCCTTCATTTGAATTTGAGGGAGCTAATCAGAACACGTTGGTACAAGTTTAAAAATTAAGCAGTTTTATCATACGGCAAGGCATGGATGTGTGTATTTTTCTTTGTAGCCGTTTGTCAATTTACCAATTGTTCTATACTAATTCTGTGGGCATCTATCTTAATTGGGTTAAGGAAGCTTGGATACTTTAAAATGGCTATTATACTTATATTAATGTTAGATATATATCCATATTGGGAACTCCTTGGACACCATTGGAAACTGCATCGTGTAAAGTTATTTTATTCTTACATATTGTGTACTAAGATTTTGGATCCTCTATTATTAACTAACATGATATTTGGTCATGTCAGAGAGACAGGTACAATTTTGTCAAACAAGGACCCACCAAGATTGGTTGTAGGATCCACTTATTAAATTTGATAAAAATACATTTTTTTTCTCTAATATGACCATATCATGCTACTCAATATCTTGAGATGATCCAAATTCTTGCACAAAATATGTGTAAATATCATATGCATTGGATGTATGCTGCTCTTCTAATGTGTCTAGAATGACTAAATTCAATGCTGAAATGAAAAAGAGAGCATAGCAAGTTCTATGTTGATGTTCTTTTGACTTATCTCCTCTTTTTACCCTGACTCTTGGAATAGCTCAACTATTATGATGCCTTATAATGGTTTTATTTTATTTTTATGCTTTCATAATAACATTTTAATAATTTTTTGCATCCATAGACCTATTTTTTTAGGAAATTTCCTATGTTGTACTTGTACCTGTGTCACATAACATTTGATACCTGTGTCTACACTTATCCATACCTATCCATACCTTTTCATACTTGTATCTTTGCATCATATTAATTTCTTCAAGTTTAGTACCTATTTAGCTGTATGTGTAAACAAGACTTTGTCAGCTCATGTTGATATTCAACTTTGACTCTTCATTCTACTCTAATTTCAATTTGAGACCTTCATTCATCAAGTATGGTCCTTCATGTAGTTTGATACTTTGACTCAACCTACTTGCTTGCAGAGACTTGTCATACAATGATCTATCAGGTAGCCTTCCCTCTTGGGTAAATCAACCAAATTTACAACTGTAAGTAGTGTGGTTCTTTTCTTCCCTCTTTTACATATTTACTTGTTAGTATGTCCTGCATAAAATGGGTCTATGTTAGGAAGAATATGTTTGGAAAACAGAGGAGGCACTCTGCGTTCTCTACTCTTGAAATCATTCATGAGAAGGAGAAAACAAAAGAACATATAACGTTATCATGATTCGGCACCTTTTGCGGACATCTACAAATTCAATATAATTATATTATGTTACAATTTTTGACCAGATAAAATTGCAAAACCTCTCACATACAAATTTTGCATAGACATAAATTATCTCCCTTACAATTTTTGGATGTCAAAATTGCAAATCCTTGCTTGACACACAACTATCCAACTCCCTAATGCACACAAAAGACTATGTTGTGGTGATAAAACTCATAATATATTTCATATTTATAATATTTTTCTATCTATTCTTTCTTCAAGTTTTTTGATGTGGGACTTGGATTAATTTGCCCATTTAAGCCCAACAGAATGGAAGGGCTAGTTGGAGGCTTGAATGTCAAGTCTGTTACTATTATATGATTGTCTACCTTAAAGTATTTCTTTTTCAATTTTATTTTATTAAGATGTCTCCCACAATGGTTAGGAATAGAGTTAAAATACTCATTATAAGGGTTTGTGTAATCCTCCTCCTAAGCCTATGAGCTAGCTTTTGGTAGTGAGTTAGGTTCAAGTTTCTTAACATAGTATCATAATCTTTTTATTTGAAATGTTAGGCTGCTCACAAATGTTTAGTCCTGTTGGGTCACCTGCAGATGTCTAGTTTTGCAAATTTTTTGATATCTAGCCTGGGCATGAGGGGTGTTTGTTAAGAAGTTCCACATTGGCTAGGCATAGAGCCAAAATACTCCTTATAAGAGCTTGAGTAATCCTCCTCTTAAGAACTAGCTTTTGGGAGTAAGTTATGTCCAAAGTTTCTTAACATATTTAAATAATTGCTGAAAGTTAGAAACACAATCTCAAGCACTACAAATGAATAATGAAAATTAAGGAATGCAAATGCAAATTTTATTTTGGAAACAAAATTGTGTGATATAGTGATCTAAATAACAAGGTACAAATACAATTCATGTTATTAACATTTAATTTCTTAACCATTTCTATTCATTAATATCATAGCTACAGTGATTTCATCTTGTAATTCCTTTTGCTAAAATAATAAAATCATTCTTGTCTCTTTCTCTTTCTAATGATCAACTAAAATTTTGTTTGTATTTTAACATCAAATGTTAAAATAATAAACTGGTTGAGTTGGGCTCCACATCTGCTATATAGACAACTTAAGCCTAGCTCTCTAGATTTACTGGCTTTCTTTTGTCTACAAGAGAGAGTGAGCAAAATATGTATATATAGGAGGCATGTGAGACTATGAGAGAGATGAGACTCGGAAGAGCTAATACCAAGCATACATCCATACAAGATGTACATTGGTTTTACTTAAAACTAATATTGACTGTCAATGTAAGATTAATTAGTTAAAATTAGTTCTTCTCAAGCTCTCTCCTGGTAAGCTCTCTGTGTGTGTGTGTGCACATGCACATGTGTATTATGAAACTAATATGGTAATATTTTTGTGGTGTGATACACAGGAATTTAGTTGCCAACAACTTGACAATTGATAGTTCAAGTAGCAGGTGATTTTTATGCAGTTTCTTTAATGATGATTGTTTTAATAGTTATGGATGTTTCCTTTTCTTCGTAAAATGTGAGTTATGATCTTGCCTTGATCCAGTTGCTCACAGTTTTTACTCAAGATTGATAGGCTGGTTGCACCTTTTCTTGTTATTTGATTTTAACAATCTTCTCATCCATTTGAAAACTTCTTCTTTTCAGCATAGAATTACTGTATCTTGCTATCAGTGATACTTAATTAATTTAATAGCTATAAAAATTTGTATCATTGCAATTGATTTTGTTGGTGTCCTTATTATTTCTCACCCTTTAATCGCTCAATATTTTTTTATCATTAACAGCTTTATTGGATACAACTTAGCTTGTGTCATGCACTCATGCTTATTTGATATGCTCATTAATTTCTTCATTGGATACTATGTTCATTAATTACTTTATGCACATTTAATCTCCAAAAATATAAATGGCAATTAGTCAATTTTTAAACATTGTTAGCACTAGTTTGGTTAATTTTCCTAAATTCAGAAGATTTCTTCACAAGAATCCTGATTTTTGGTTCTCATACTATTTTAGGGTCTGAGTTATGCCTTAGCAATGATTTCTCATCCTTTGATTTCTGTTTGCTTCTTGGAAATTTAATTTGTGCATCAGTTTGACCAGTGTAAAACTTGAATTGTATCAGAGTATGCTTCATTCTGACCATGAACTTAGTTTAAAAGTGTTAAACATAATTCTTTGGTTGCTAGTATTGATTATCAAGTGAAAACTAATTTTGTATAGCCATTAATTTCTCTAGTCTGAAACATAGCTTTTCTTTTGCAGTGGCTTGCCCACAGGACTCAACTGTCTCCAAAAAAATTTTCCTTGTAATAGTGGTGTTGGTAGATGTAAGTTTGACTTTAGATTAGTTTTTCATGTCATGTGAGCCACTAAAACTGAAAAAATTATTATCCCAAATAAATCCTTAAGATTATTATAATTGATATCATAGGGGGTGAACTTTAGCATCATGGTAATAAGAATACTACCTTTTGACTTGGAGGTCATAGGTTCAATAGTTGTAAATAACCTCTCCATTTGTAGGGGCAAGATTGCATATATCTATCCTCATAATTGTAAGGCAAACTTTGATGTCATTTCATAGTTAATTGTCATGAAACCTTCCCAGATATGTATTATTAGTATGACTAATTAGAGACGCAAATACCCTTTACTTAGAGTTCCTTACAAGTAACAAATACTGGTAAGATTCTCCTTATTACATAATGTAGTACTTTATATTTGTGTATATAACTGGTACTTATATTTAAAATATTGAAAATAAGATAGAAACTCAAGAAGAAAATTTCCTTTGCAAGGAAGAATTGCTGCTTAACAGAGAGAAGCACAAATATTTGAGTATATAAATTGTAGCAAAATGCTGTGAAGACAAAATATGTAACATATTCCGTCGTCATATTCCTCTCGAGCCTACTCTTCATTTTCTCTTATATACTTGTTGAAGGACCATCAAATTATCTTTTGCTATTGTCAGAAACCTGTTGAAAGTCATCCTGTTACCGTCAAGTTATCATCAAGTTATCACTTACAAATATAACTAACTTTTATGTTTGTCAATCTTTCTGCAAGATTTATAAAAATATGCCTCAATTCCTTGGCCTTACTCATCACTACCTCTTCCCCCAGGCCAACCACCATTTGATCAAAGAATTTCCTTCTTGACCTTCATTGGGCTCTTCTGAATAACATTAAACCTTGACAAACAGATTTGTACAACTTTTGTTATTCACAAATCTGCTTCTGTTTCTGAAATAATTTTGCAATATCTTGTTTAATGACTGGCATAGTGGTTACTGGATACTAAATACTAATTGAGCCACAATATGAATATAGTGAGATTCCTCTTCTAATACTTTTCAGAATGAATTAGGATGAGCTAACTAAAGGATTACCATGGGGGTATTATTCACTCCAGGTTATAAGAATCCTGTCTGCAATTGCATTAAGGGAAGAGGTGAATAATAATAGAATAAATATACAATTTGATTCCTGAAAGTGACACTTTTTTATCTTTGGTCTGAAAGTTGTTTTTACAATTTAGTCTCCAAATGTCTTAATATTTACATACATTTCAGTCCTTCTCTTACAAAAATTTAAGCAAAATGGGAGTAAGATTGTATGCAACAAAATTTTCAGGGATCAAAAGTAAACAATGTGTCACTTTCTGGCATAAATTTGTGTATTCACTCATAAAAATATTTTATCTCAATAGTCAGATCAATCCTGTGTATCAAACACTAATTCAGCATCCTGACTATTGGATTATAGTGACTGAAGGATCTCTGCCCTCCTTTTTCTGTACATGGAAAAGAAATATTAGGTTTTATCTGAAGTCATATTTGTTAATTAAAACTCCTTTTCCCTCAAATTGATCAGTCTCTTAGCTATATGATTCTGTGCAGATTCTGACTTTTCAATAAAGTGTGGTGGTCCCCGAATTACCTCGGCAGATCAAACTATGTATGAAATGGACAATGCAACACTTGGTCCTGCTACATACTTTGTTACTGATACAGATAGATGGGCTGTTAGTAACATTGGATTATTTACTGGGAGCAATAATCCTGTATACAAAAGTTTTGTTTCTAATCAGTTCACTGGTACTGTGAACCCAGAGCTTTTCCAAACAGCAAGACTCTCTGCTTCATCATTACGATATTTTGGTCTGGGGCTGGAAAATGGTTTTTACAACATCACCCTCCAATTTGCAGAAACAGCTATTCTGGATACTCCCACATGGAAAAGCCTTGGGAGACGGGTCTTTGATATTTATATTCAGGTACTTGTGTCTTTACCAAAAGCTTGGAAATCATATTGATGATGCTACAATCTACTTAGATACTCATAGTTAAACAGATAATTGTTACCTTAAATGTCCCATGGAATGATCTAACACCGCATTTAAGTACCTATATGTTGAGAGAGGAGATACCAAAAGAGATTGGAATCAATCCATGTATTTTGTTTACAGCGGAGCTATTGAATTTTATAAGGAAGAGTACATATTTACAAGATTCTAACACACTCCCTCAAGTTGGAGTTTATAGGTCATATACACCAAACTTTGTTACATATATAGTTAATCCGAGGATCCCTTAGTGAGTTAGTAAATATATCTGCTAGTTGATCATGGGAATTGACAAAATTAGTAGATATTTTCCCATACATGACTTTCTATTCTGACAAAGTGACAATTAATTTCAATGTAACTTGCACTCTCGTGGAATACTGGATTTGAGGCAATATGCATGGCATCCTAGTTATCACACATAAGTGACATGTGTAACATCTCTAAACATTGGTTCCTACAGAAACTATTTGAGCCATATAAGTTCTTGACTGGCTATGGCCATAGCTCGATACTCCGCTCCACACTGGACCTAACTACAATATTCTGCTTCTTACTTTTCTAAGAGATAAGGTCATGTTCGACAAATATATAGAACTCAGAAGTGGACATTCTATCAATGGGAGATCTTGCCCATCCCATGACTCGAGTGTGTCCTTTGTCTTCATACAAATGACCCTTTCTTGGAGTTCTTTTGATGTATCGAACACATGTAAGTCACTGCGTCCCAATGTTTCTTACATGGAGAGTTGAGGAATTGACTTATTACACTCACTGCGAACGATAGATCTGGACAGGTAACAGTGAGGTAGTTCAACTTCCCTACTACTCGTCCATACCTTAGGATCTAGAAGAGGCTCTCCCTAATTTGGTAAGAGCTTGACATTGGGATCCATGGGGTATCAACTATCTTGGAATTTAGCATTCTTGTTCCTTTTAGAATATCCATTACATACTTCCTTTGGGATATAATGATCCTATTTTTGAATTGTGCTATTTCTATTCCCAAGACCAGAAGACTCTCCCTGAGCATCAAAGCAAGGAGATTGCTCCATGTAGACCTCATCGAGCATATCACCATGTAAAAAGACATTCTTGATATCCAACTAATAGAGAGACCAATGATGAATAACAGCAATGGATAGGAATAGTCGTACATAAGGCATTTTGGAAATGAGAAAAAGTTTCTCTGTAATTCAACCCAAAGATTTGAGTATAACTTTTAGCGACGAGACCAATCTTAAGCTGGTCAACCTTGCCATTTGGACCAACCTTTATCGTATACACCCATCAACGACCAACAGTTGACTTCCCTGGTAGTAAAGGAACGAGGTCGCAAGTTCTACTGTTCTATAATGTACACATCTCGGAGGATGAGGCGAAAGAGTTGATTCTAAAGGTGAGTTCATGGTGTTGTTAGCGCTAGGTGGCAGCAATATAGGACGTGTATGGCACTGATAGAATTGCATAGGTGGAGGAGATGGGTTTGGAGGGAATGGAGACTCCTATGGAGGACAAAAAAGGACTGAAATAGGTGCAGTCGTAGAAGGAGAAGACTCGAATGAAGATGCTCCAGGCTCAAAGAATGAAATGGAATCAAAGAAAGTAACATCAGCAGAGATTAAATACCTGCGAAGAGAAAGAGAATAACACTTGTACCCTTTTTGAGATCATGGGTACCCAAGGAAAACACTCTTATGAGACCGAGGAGAGTTTGTCAATGCTAGGATCAAAAGCATGAACAAAACATGTACAACCAAAGACTTGAGGTGGTAAAAGATAAAGAGAGTGGTAAGGATATAGAATTTGATGAGGGATTTTACCTTTTAGAATGTAGGAGGTATGTGGTCGATGAGATAACCACCCAGTAAATACCGTATCACCCCAAAACTGATGAGGAACATGAGAGTAGAGAAGAAGAGTTTGGATAGTCTCAAGAAGATGCCTAATTTTGCATTTTGCAACCCCGTTCTATTGGGAGGTATAAGGACAAGATGTTTGATGCAATACACCATAAAATGCCATAAAGGTCTGAAACGGAGTAGACTGATACTCACGTGTATTATCACTTTGTAAAGTGCCAATAGGAATACCAAATTGATTTTTGATTTCATGAAAAAAGGATTGAAAAATTGAAAGTAATTCTAAACATTTTTTCATTAAATATAACCAAGTAAGCAAGAAAAATGATCTATAGAAGTAACAAAATATATGAACCCTAATGTAGAGAAAATACGACTTGGACCTCAAATATCTTAAAACAAAAGGGGATGAAGCCCGCGTCATAGTGCAACTAGAAAAAGAATTACGAATATGCTTTCCTAATTGACATAACTCACAAGACAAAAATTTTAACTTAAATAGACTAGGGTATAATTGTTTCAACTTATCAAGACTTGGATGTCCTAACCAAGCATGAATCAATCGTCCTTCCCGTACTCTAGTCCTGCAAGGAAACAAAATTTTTGGTAAAAGAGATGACACAATCAAGAGACTGGGTAAGTTGACCGATGGACAATAAATTTAAGGAAGTCCCAGAAACATAAAGGACATTATGAATAGAAAGAGAAGAAAGAGGATAAACAATACCAACACCTTGGAATTGAGTTTGAGAACCATTTGTCATGGTAACAGAAGGTTAATAACCATAAATAGAAAGAAAAGAAAAAAAGGATTTATTGTCAGTGATATGATTAGTGGCTCCAGAGTAAAGGACCCAAGGGCCTGAAGAGTGAGAGTTGCCAACAAAAGAATTACCAGTGTGTACAATAGCAATAGTGGAACATGAGGCCTGACGTTCTTCATACCATTTCAGGAAGTCTTCATAGGAAGGTGATGGGTTTGGATCCAGATCCAATGACGGAGTGAAAGTTGAAGGAGGCACAAAACGCTAAGTGACTTGGGCAATGTGCGGAGATTGATCATGTAGAGTCCAACACTTATCAATTGTGTGGCCGGTTTGTGGCAATGATCGCACTAGAGACGTCCTTTGCCGCCCTTTATAGTGGAGATCTGTTGTTGTTGCTAGAAACCAAAGCAGAAGAGTCAATAGGAATAGAAGGCAAAGACTTAAAGGAGGCTTTGGTAGGAACACGAAAGAGATTCTCCAAGTACTGTCCATGGTAGTTTCTATGGGCAGACCGTATAGAGCCAAGGACATTAGAAACTTTTTGCGATTATCAAGTTCCATGGTAAGAATGACAACGAGAGGAAGCAATTCATTAAAGTCATAGAAAAGGCTAAAGACCGAGCCCAGATAAGTCGACATAGAATCCTTAATTTGATGGGTACTAAGGATGGTCATGAGATCTTCACAAACTTAGTAGGGTTGTTGAGAAGTGTTTGTAAAGAGTTGTTGGTCCTGTGTCCAAACAGCTTTGTAGGTTTTGTGAGTGCAAAAGACATCGCAAAGAGATGGGTGAATGGTGGTTTGGATGATACAATACAACTGAGCGTCCTCTGTTTGGGTGAGATGCGTCTCATAACCCTATCCAACAACCCAAAATTCAATGTGAGAAGCCAAAGAGTAGTCTTACTATCCAACTGCTCGGAAGAAAGCAGTGCAGTGACATGGTTGGTAAAAATCTGAGTGTCAGACTTCAGAGTGCCGAAGGTAATCATTGTCAGCGACAAGAGAGAAAAATGCCCAAACAACAACAAAAAAGGGGCAAAACAGGGGAGAATAGGTGTCCAAACACCGTACCAAGACCAGATACTGGTAGAGGGGAAAGGGGCGAGCAAACCTTGGTCGACGGTGTCAGGAAAGAACGCTTGACATGCTCTCACGTGCAAAGAAACAGGGTGATGCGTGAGAAATTATGACAGAGACGAACGAGGTACATGGGGCGTGTGCGGACTCCAATGAGGGTGCGGCCACTGAGGTTTGGTCGATCTGCAGGAGGCGACTACAACAGTGACATCGACATAGTGGTCAAAGGTTAGACAGTGGTGGTGGGGTTGGACTAGTGGCAGACGGTGGTGACAATGTTGGAAAAGGACACAACTAGATGAAATGCTGAAAAATGGAGATGAAACATGGTTTTTGGAAAAAGATTTAGCACTAGTGGACAATGGATCCACCGGGAAAAACACATATTAGAGTTGCCTCTTGTCAAACTTTAAGAGAGTATAAGGTTGAAAAGGTATTCTATACCCTCTTTAGATTAATGGTTGTAATTCCTCTAATACCTTAAAGACGAGAGGGTATTAGTGTCTTTTTAAACTAAACCACTAACTCCATTATCTTTTAATATAAAACTAATGGTTAGGATTGTTCTACATATAAGAGAAGGTACCAAACCCTTTCAATTATCAATTACTTGGGGTACTGTAGATTTTACCGGTATACTTTTTTATATGTTGCTAAATGTCCTTATACTTTATTTTTCATGTCAGTTAACCCTCTTGCAGTGCTACCTTTTTGTATCACTTTACCCCCCATATGGGATTTATTGACAGTAAAAAAGTATGAGGGCCTTAATTTAAACAGCATGAAACTACTGGGTGAAGTGTAGTTTACTTTAAAAAAAAAAATGAATGTTTGGCCCACTCGTTTTCTGGCTGTTATTTCACCTTCATTTTTCTTTCCTTTTGAATATTCTAGGGAACTCGTGTTCTCAAGGATTTTGATATACAAAAGGAAGCTGGGGGTTTCTCTTACAGAGCTGTGCAAAAGCAATTTAGGTTTGAAGTGTCAGAAAACTATCTTGAGATCCATCTCTTTTGGGCTGGAAAAGGGACTTGCTGTATACCAGCTCAGGGTACTTATGGGCCCTTGATTCAAGCCATCAGTGCTGTCGCAGGTAAAACCTTGAAAATATTTGGCAGTTCAGATTGTTAATTACTAACCTTTCCCAATGTATAATCTATTGTCAGATAAATTTTCAAATTTGTATTTAATAGTTTTTTTGTGTTGTATAGACTTCATACCTTCAGTTAGTAACAATCCTCCAAGCAGTAAAAAGAATAGAACCGGTCTAATCATTGGAGTTGTTGTTGGAGTTGGAGTAGTAAGCTTTCTATCAGTTTTTGCAATTTTCTGTATTATTCAGAAAAGAAAACGCGAGGCAGATGATGAAGGTAAACAATTGTTTGAATATTTGCATAGTATGGTTCTCCAACTTTTTAAATCATCTTTCTGCAAATCATTAATGATATTCTAGATTATAAGTAATACATATATTGCACGGGTTGATATTTGAAGATCTAGTGGGACATACATTATATATGATTTTAAGCAACAGTACTTTTTCACCTCAGCACAACATATTCTATATGTTTAGGTTTTGTATCACAACATTACCAAAAGATACAGCAAAGAAATTATTGTATTTTGCTTAAAAGTTCAACATTGTAGACAATGCATATGCATTTGTTCTATAATTTTTTCTTATCTTAATTCAAAACATTTGGAAAAGGCTCGAGAAAGGAAGTTTCTCAACTTGAATAACTAGAAAATCAGACATCATCCCTAGCTTCAACGAAGCAAGTTTCTGCTTACACAACCTTACCTTTACCATGTATGATTTTGCAGAACTTTTAGGAATTGATACAAAGCCATACACTTTCAGCTATTCTGAGCTAAAGAATGCTACAAATGACTTTAATCTTGAAAATAAGCTTGGAGAGGGAGGTTTTGGACCTGTTTATAAGGTAACATTTTACCACTTCATTAGAGATAATGGTTATATGCCGCTTTACAAAAGTTTATCATTGTCAACACTGGTTCAAATGATGCTAATGGCAACTTGAAGTCAGTGGTGGAGCCATGATCAATTGAGGGGAGTGCAGACCTAATTTTTTTTTTTTTCATTACATTAAAAGTGTTTAAGAAAACTAATAGGTTTATCTGCATCCTAAACTAATAAACTAATAGCCTCCTATTTATCCCACCTCCTTATTGTCCCATAAAAGAATTTGTATGCCTTTAGAGCTTCAAGTTCTTGATATTACAATTTTAATTTGTTTAATGTAATAATTTTTATTACTAATTAATTTTAAATTGCAGAAGACAACTGTAGAGTAGAACGCTTTTTTTTCAACTGATGATCACTAATAATTATTTACCTTTAATTTTATATGTCATTATGTTCTTAATTAATAAATTTATGTAGTAATTTGTCATTACTAGCTTGTACTTCCCTTCCCCTAACCTCCAGGACCTGACTCTGCCATTGCTTGTAGTTATATTTTACTGAAGAAAGTGGTAAAGTTTTATTCTAATATTCAATTTTTGGGGGGCTAATAATTAATTTCTTTCTTTAAGATTACTGTTTTCCCTTCCTGTTCTTGTAGGGGACACTGAATGATGGAAGAGTAATTGCTGTGAAACAACTATCAGTGGGATCCCATCAAGGAAAGAGCCAGTTTATAACTGAGATTGCTACTATATCAGCTGTGCAACATCGTAATCTTGTCAAATTATATGGATGTTGCATTGAGGGGAGTAAAAGACTTCTAGTCTATGAGTATCTAGAAAATAAGAGTGTAGATCAAGCATTATTTGGTACGAGAAAATGATAATTTTCATTTTAATGTATGCATATTTATGAATGTTTATTTGCTTTCTCATTTTTGATTAAATGAAAACTAAGGACAAACGTGGTTTGTTTGGCCAGGAAATTGCTTAACCCTCAATTGGTCCATGCGCTATGATATATGCTTGGGTGTTGCTAGAGGATTAACTTATTTACATGAAGAGTCACGGCTCCGTATTGTACACCGTGATGTAAAGGCTAGTAATATACTGCTTGATTCTGTGCTTATCCCAAAAATATCTGATTTTGGGTTGGCCAAATTATATGATGAAAACAAGACCCATATAAGCACCCGTGTGGCTGGGACAATGTGAGTCATCAGCACTTGATTATCTTATATCAGTTTCATGAATTTTTTTCCTTAGTTTATTTGTTTATGGTTCATTGTGATATTTTTGTTTTAATTAACTATAAACTGTCAAAATACTCAAACCCGTGATGAAGTGGATATCTTGCACCGGAGTATGCAATGCGTGGACACCTTACAGAGAAAGCAGATGTTTTTTCCTTTGGTGTTGTCGCTCTAGAGTTAGTTAGTGGGAGGCCAAATTCTGATTCAAGTTTAGAAGGAGAAAAGGTGTATCTTCTGGAATGGGTACGTCTGCTGCCTCTGCTTCTTATGAATGTTAATTTTACTTAACATTTGGTTAATGTTCATACCTCTAGCTTTTATGTTAATTACACATTATGTATGAAACATTATAATCTGAAGTCCAAACCCTTTCATCTGCATTTTGGTATTGCAACCAAGTTTGAATCTGATATCCTTAACTGTTAAACAAAGAAAATGTCATTTCATTTGTAGAGAAACTTCTAAACAATTTGATTGATATTGCATTTGGTAAGATGATAAATGAGTCTCTGTCCTCTTGATAACTTATACTAATTCCTAAAATGCTTTGGTGCGGAAATTTTGGTTGTTTTTTTTTTTTCATTTGACTTCTGATTTTCTTGTTACGTAATATGTTGACTTCTGATTTTCTTGTTACGTAATATGTGGGATGTGATAAACCATATCATATAGATGAGTCTCTCACCTATTGCTGTCTATTTTTCTGAATCCTACAAGAAGAAATGAAGCTTTTCTTTTCATGTTTGCCGATGCCGTGACCTATTGGCATAGGATAATCCTGAAGATGTGACAAAATATAATAATTGTAGCTAAGATTTTTGTACAACATTAGTTTATGTAAGATGCCTTTGATTATAATGATTGACTGGGATATAATCTCACTCGAGTCATCTGGTCTTCATCAAAGATGTAATGACTTTGGTGAGATCATGTTTCTCATGTTTGATCAGCTTTCCCATATTAAATGTTCTTTATGAAGATATTAAATACAAATTGGGAGTATATAAAATCATTTTTCCCATACCAGTATCTTGTTATTTAAAAATGTCTTCAATTTATATGGGATGATTTGTCACGGAATATTCAAAAAGAATTTATGGTTCCCTCATATTTGATACCTTCAATTAGTGCATTGAATGTTCAAAACATTTTGCTTATCTTTTTAATGTTAATTTTGTTTTCAATTTCTCAGGCTTGGCAACTTCATGAAAACAACCGCATAACTGATCTGGTAGATCCTAGACTTTCAGAATTCAACCAGGAAGAATTAAAACGCATAGTAGGAATAGCGCTTTTGTGCACACAAACATCACCAGCTTTAAGGCCATCAATGTCGCGTGTGGTGGCAATGCTTTCAGGAGATATTGAAGTGAGCAATGTAACTACGAAGCCCGGATATCTGACTGATTGGAAATTTGATGACGTGACAAGCTTGATGACTGATATTGCAATCAAAGGATCATCCAATACAAGTTACCCGAATTCATCAGCAAGTACCAGCACAGTGGGTGGTGCATACCATTCACCAATAGATGCTTCTAAACCCATCCTCGATGAGATTCTTAAGGAGGGTAGGTAAGAATTATTTTACTCTCGAGTGTTCAAGTCAATTGTACAAGGATTATGGAAATTTGCACCAAAACTGTTTTCCTTCGTTGTATTATTGTATATGCTACCTTAATTTGTAATGTAAATAATAATTAAAGTGATTGGGAATGTACAACAATGATAAGGTCTTGGTGCCATGAAATGTTATCATTCAAATTGGATTTAGATGACGTGATGTGTGTGATAGACTGGAAAGCACAGTTTCATTTATTCAAGAAAACAAAAATTCAGAAGAAAGGCCCCTTGCTTGATTCCATTCTCTTTCGCCTTCCAATCTGCATCCATCCGGATAGAGCACTCTTAAAGATGGTACAGATAAGGTTAGGAGAACAAGTCTTTAGGGAAGCAGCATGTCAAATCAACTAAAGGATTGTTCTCTTTTAGGTGTAGCAGTCCAAAAAGCAATACTACTTTTAACCTTCTTTGTAGTATCTTCAAGAAGATTTAAATCATCTTTAGCAATTAAATTTAGAACATGTGCATAACACTTCATGTGAAACAACTAACCATCAAGTACAATAGATGTTGGAGTCAAGTGTAAGTTTTATATAGAATTGGATATGGACAAGTTAGAGATCTTTGAGGAGATAGACTTATGCATCTATTGCTTTAAGGTTTTAGGATTGTATTGTAATATCCTACTCATTATAAGGCTCCCTACACAGCAGAAGTTTTCTCCATCACGAGTATCCATGGTCTATAATTAGAGCAACCATTGCTCTCTTCCGTATGGGGTGTCGTCTCCACACCCTTCGCACGTGGATATTACTAGCTTTTTGCTAGGGCTTATCTAGTGTTACCATTTTCTCTACGGTGCACTCTAACACTCACCATTGATGCCACACTTTCAACTCTCTTTGTCGCGGTTCATCTACTCGTCTAAGGTATCGTCACACTCTCGGCTTTCTTTGCCATGGTTTATCTACTCGTCTGAGGTGTTGTCCACTCAATGATACTTTTTGAGCTCCACACCCTTCGCACGTGGGTATCACTAGCTCTCTGCTATGACTTATCTAGTGTCACCATTTCTTCTATTGTACACTCTCACACTCACCATGGATGCCACAACGTCGGCTCTCTCTGTCACAATTCATCTACTTATTTGAGCTGGTCACCTAGATTGATGCAGCTCTAATATCGGGTAGAGTTTTTAGGTAGAGAGCCTTACAATGAGTAGGACATCACAATACAATCCCAAAACCTTAATGTTATGAGTGTATGGGTTCATCTTCTTAAAAACTCCTAACTTGTCCATATCCCATTTCATGTGGAGGCTAATTTACACTTGACTTTAAAAAGAGAAAAACAATCAAGTTTGTTTAGTAACACACCAACAAAAGAGTTATCAATACTACAGTTATCTAAAAGGATGGTAAATAACTTTCTATTAATATTCCAATCTAGAATGCATTCAACTAACACTTTAGATAGAGCTTTTGTTGTATGAAGACATTCCACGTATACAAACCTATTAATGTAGAAATAAATTATATACATATATTAAAAAATATTAAAATAATACAATATTATATGCAAATAATTAGTAAATGAATATATCATGCAATGATCACAAAATTATACCTCAATATAAGACTTTGCATATCCCAATCATCAGTAATGTAGTGAGTTGTGATAGTCATAAACCTTTTCTTTTGACTGCTAGTTGTCCATATGTCAATTGTTAAAGCAATTCTACTTCGAATCTTCTCTAAGAGCCCCATAGTCTTCAACCTTTCATTCTGATAGATTTTGATAATATCACCTTTTATTGTATTCAATATAGGAACCTTGAATAAAGGTTGGAGGCTTTCATAATATGCTTTAAACTCCAAATGGTCTACCATAGAAATCGGATACTCATGAATTATTATCATAGAAACAATATCTCTTCTTAATTTTTCTGGATCAAAGTGATAATTACTCAAATAAATGAATGATATATTTACTTTGTTTTGTTCCCTCAACAAAATTGATTATCTTATATCTTTATATGGCCTCCTCTTACAAATTCAAAAGTGTTTATGCAAATGATTTGTTCCATTTGATCATCTTCTACTCGTGAGTTGCTTATTGCAATAATTGCACATAACTTTTTATTCTTCATTAATAATTTTTTTCTTAATATAACTACATACCACTGACATCTTTTTTTTTTTTTTCCATCATTAGTTTCATCATAATCATCTCCATCCACAAAAATAGAAAGTGTATTAGACTGAGATTGAGATTGACCTCTAATATCGGAACTATCGCATTTTTAGATTGTGTGGGGGTAATGGAAATAATTGGAGAAGAGCTACTTTCATATTCCTTTGAAGAAGCTACTCCACATACATTTTCAATTTGTTATTACATGTATCAAAGCAAGAATTTAAATAAAAAACCTTATTCAACCAAAGTCAATATAATAACAAATAATTTTAATCACTAAATTTCTAAACATAAACAATTTTCAAAAACAAAACTCAACATAAACCATTTTTAGCTCAACCAATGATTTTCAGTTTAACATAAGCCTTTTTCAATTCAACCAATAGATACAATAAATTTTAAGATTACACGAAAATGGTACTCAAGTATCATGATATCCTAAAAGTTGAGTGCAAACATGAAGAGAAAATGTAGGAAAAGAGAGAAATAAACAACAATTCAGCATTTAAGCAAAAACTCATACAAATAAACAAATGTTAGACATACAAGTTATTTGTCAACAATAACTCTATCTCACAATAAGATCCGATCGAACGACGATGACACTTAATGACGAGATGGATCTACGTGGCCTCTTGCGTGGAATCTATACATTGGGTGACCTCTTGTGATGGCTTCGCAATCCACTTTATGATTAATTATTGATATAATTTTATTTAAAAAAATATTTATGTAAAAAATATTTTTTATGTCTGTCATATATAAATTAATTTTTAAAAAAGTTAATCTTATATCAATCATGTAATATTTAAATTGTATTAGCATAGTTAAACGATATAAAATAGTAAAAAAAAATATTATTAAAAATATGAAAAATAATTTTTATGATTTACTTTATTAGTAAATATATTTTTATGTTAACCTTATAAAACAAATATAATTAGATAGACTTTTATATTTTTAAATAACGTAAATATTTATATTAAATTTTTCAACCTCTTATTTTACATAGAAAAAATTTAAAAACAAAAAATTATAAATTAAAAGACAATATTACTCAAAATAGAAAAAAAATTTATTCAAAAATAAAATAAAATAATTATGGCGTATAAAAGAACTTTGAATTAAGTAGAAAACATAAGATTTGAAATTACATAAAATAAATAGTAAAATTTTATCTAGACTAAAATTTCATAAAAGCATCTACAAAAAAATTTTAAATACTAAAAGTGGGTTGAGTTCTTGTTTTCCTAAATTTCTAATTGCTCCATTGTAATTAAAAATTTATTCAAATGAGATTGTGTGAATTTAGAACACAAAGATAATTAGAAATGTCAATAATGATTATAATAGAGTCTTAAGCTTACTTGTTAATGCATAGTGTGTGTGTGCTCTACCCATTATAAGTAAATTTTGCGATACCCATTAGATACTTTACCTATTGTCATCTTTTTTAGTATAGGACGCCTTATACCTTATTCAAATGTTAAGTCTAGGAGTATGGGGCACGTGGAATCAAGTGTGAATTAGCAAGGACCACCTTGCAAGGCAAGGCTAAATACTCCTAGGTGACCGACAGTGAAGTAGTACAGTGAGGAAAGGGTGACTAGAATACGAAAATTCAACTAGTGAAGTAAGATACGGGAATTCCACTATTGAAGTTATCCGTCTTAGGCTTCAAGCAAGCTATCTTTTAAGGAAGTCAATCTAAAAATTGTTGAAGAAAACTTGGCAAGTTGTTTATAGTATAAATGGGGTAAACCCCACTTTAATCCATAAACTATGTAACTTAACAAAAGTTAGTCCTTAAAATTTGAAATTTAAAATTTTAGTCCTTAAAATTAATAATGTTGATCACATTAGTTTTTGTTGTTAAGTGATGTTAAAATTAAGTAACGAATTTGATGACTTGTCATGTTAAATGACACATGGCAAACTGGCAGTTCATTTTGCATATAAAACTACGTTGTTTTTTAATTTTTTAAAAATAGTTTATTTTCGTTCTTGACTGTTAACATTTTTGAATAACAAGGTCTTTTTTCATCTTCTATTTCACTTTCTTCGACTACATCTTCCTTTCTCCAGCCACCTTGTAATGAACTATTAAGTGTAGTAACTATGAAACCAACATGACCCACTACCCATCTTAACAAGAAAGAAATCAACTTAACCATAGTAAATAAATGATTTTTTCATTGCAATCCCAAAAGGAACCTAATTAGTAGTGTAACCAATAATTGTAAAACTTCAAAAAATCACACAGTCAATGCACTCATTGTTCTATAAGTGAGACTCCTTTGTTAAATTGATTATAATTGGTTGTTCATTCGTAGATTTGAGATTTGAATATGGTGATGCAACTAAAAATACTTAAGAAGAAAAACTTCTGCAGCATTAATATTATTATAGCCATAGTCGAAGGAAGGAAGAAGACACTATAGAAAAAGGCTAAGAAGAGGATGAGAAAGGATTTTATTGTCCGAAAATTGTCCATATCGTTTGGGGTAGATTACCACATGTCACTTAACGTGACAAATCACTCTATTACTAATTTTAATGTCTCTTAATGGTAAGGACTAATGCGATTGACGATTATTAATTGTATGGACTAAAATTTCAAAATTTAAAGACTAACTTTTGTCAAGTTACATATTTTAAAGATTAAAGTTAGAGTTTACCCCAACTATACTAAAATTTATTTAAGCAAATTTACTTAAATTATTTTGTTATTTTCTTAAGATTCACTCAAATAAAAATAGATTGGACAAACTAGTTCCTATTACAAAAGAGAATCTAAATATTTATGTCTTTTTTAAATAAACTATTAACCTCCACTATCTATTATACATATTTAATATGAAACTAATAGTGATAATTATTCTACATATAAAAAGACATAGAATGTCCTCTTAATATATAAAATATCATAGAAATTACCTTTATTTTTTACATTGATTTTTTTTTTTATCTTTGTAATTATGAAAGTTGAACAAAACAAAATTTATTTAGTTAAAAAATTAAAAGAATAAATTCACTAAAAAGCAAAAAAAAAAAAAACAAAGCAAATATTATAAAAAATATTCAAATATTATTTCCTAGTTAAAACAAACTTTTTCTATTTTTTTTACAATTTTCTAGATTAAAATGACATTATTCAACTTTTTAAACACTGTAACTGCTATAAATGAGTAATTTTTTATATTTCTAATTTTTAAAATTAAAAATCACTTATTTTTTAAAAAAATATACCGAATAATTTTTCAAAAGAATCATGTAATAATTTTAATTATATTAAAAATTTGTAAAATTATCGCTAT